CAAGAACCTGGATTTAATCTCTCTGATGCAGCATATCTACAGAATGGGACCTAAGTCTAAATCCAAGAACCGGCTATCAAATTCAGCTCACTGATCTCAATTACTTCTGTAAACTTTCTTGACATCACAGTTAGCATCGATTTTGCGTGTCTGAAGACCACAGCCTACTACAAACCCATGGATTCTCACAGTTATCTCCTCTATACGTCTTCTCACCAACTACCCTCCTTTTTTTGTGTGCAGTCAATCATTTTAGTTCTCATCAAGTTCTGAAGTCCATTCCTTCTCACAAAATGTCTAAAAAAAACATGTTCACTGTCATGATTCTACAATTTACACATCATTGTTGCATAAAATCTCATCCTAATTTGTTTACATTCTGAGATTAACTACCATGAAGCAGAGTATGTCAGACATACAGTGTCATTCCCCATTCCCCCCCTCTCTCTCTCTCTCTCTCTCTCTCTCTCTCTCTCTCTTTCTCTCTCTCTCCCCCTCTCTCCCTCCCCCTCTCTCTCTCTCTCTCTCTCTTTTTCTATTGAAACCTAATTAAATTAATACAGTACACAAATCACTTTTCATTTCCTGAAATCACCATGTGGGTTCCAAGGTCCCATTTGTGGGTGGACGTGGAGAGAACCGACCCACTGTTCACCTAATAAACACATTGTAAAAGGTGACTAATCAGGTGTTTTTCCTTCAAAGTCGGAGTGCATCTGCCTGGGCTGCGAGGACCCCACAGTCTGCATACAAATAAACCAAATCTCCAAACAGGATGTGCATGCAAAACTCAAGTTCTAGAACAAGACCAAAGTCCAGAAGTGGATGAACAACCTTAACTTTCCGCAGGAGTTTATATCTGGTGAAGGCTAAAAAGATTTTCTGAAACGCAAAGGGATAGTGGCAAAAATGATGATGATGGTGATTACTTACGAAAATGACCTGCCACACATCCCATAATTCCCTGCTCCATATGAACCTCCAATTATGACAGTAATTTTAGGCACCTTGGCGCAGGCCACGGCTGTGACCATTTTGGCACCGTGTTTGGCAATACCACCAGCCTCAGCTTCTCTCCCGACCATGAAGCCTGGAAGTACAAAGTGGACTCAACAACATCAGGGGAAGCACACAGTACACTTAACAAGATCAGAGAAAGTACAGAGTACACTCAGCAAGATCAGGGGAAGTAAAGATTACACTCAGCAAGATCAGGGGAAGTACAAAGTACAATCAACAAGATCAAGGAAAACAGAGTCCATTTAACAAGATCAGGGAAAGCACAAAGTAAACTCAACAAGATCAAGGAAGTGTTGAGTACACTCAACACGATCAGGGGAAGTACAGTGTACAAACAACGAGATCAGTGATGTACAAAGTAGAAACTATAAGATCAAGGGAAGTTAGTTAGTTAGTTAGTTAGTTATTCCTCTTGTGCCAAAGATGGCGCATAGGGCAGAGGTCATAGCTTTCCACGTCTGTCGGTTCTTTGCCACTTGATGTAGGTCTTGAGTGCGACTGAGACCTATGGTTGAGCTCTCCCTTGTGATGGTTCTACGGAGGGTTTCTTTTGGTCTTCCTTGTTTTCTTTTACCCTCTGGTGACCATATGAAGGCTTGGTGGGGAAGTCTCTGTATGTCCATTCTGAGTACGTGACCGATGTAATTCCAGCGACGCATTCTAATAAAATCAGACACATATTTTTGTTTTGTTTCCTGTCTTATAGATGTATTGGACCTAAAGTCCGACCAGTGAACATTCAATAGCTTTCGGAGGAAGTACGGAGTCCATTTAACAAGAAAAGGGGAAAGCACAGAGTACACTCAACAATTTCAGAGGAAGCACAAAGTACACCTAACAAGATCAGGGAAGTACACAGTATACTCAACAAGATCAGGGGAAACATAAAGTACACTCAACAAGATCAAGGAAGTACAGAGTACAAACAACAAGATCAGGGGAAGTACATTGTCCGTTTAACAAGATCAGGGGAAGCACAGAGTAAAACAACAAGAGCAGAGGAAGTACAAAGTACACTCAGCAAGAGCAGGGGAAGTATACACACTTAACAACATCAGGAGAAGTAAAGAGTACATTTAACAAGACCAGGGCAAGTACATTTTACAAAATCAGGTTAAATACAGATTAGATTTAAGAAGATCAGGGGAAGTTAACAGTACAATGAAGAAAATTAGGGGAAGTACAGAGTACATTTAAGAAGATCAGGGGAAGCACAGAGTACATTTAAAAAGATCAAGGAAAGTACGGAGTAAATTTAAGAAGATCAGGGGAAGTACAGAGTACATTTAAGAAGATCAGGGGAAATACAAAGCACAAGCAAACTTCACAGTAGGACAGAATCATGTGTTCAGTCATAGGCAAATTACTTTACAAGAGCAATTAAAGTAGTGGAGACTGACATTCTTCAAGCTGATACATCAATGAATTTGATTAGAATTTCGTTTAAGCTCCATGTGTATCAATAATTAGACAATGTTAACCCTCTGGCCCTGAGATACAGCTAATTGGGCATGGCCACTCTTACAAATCCCAAAGAAGCTGCTAAATCGGGACTGCTTTAGTAGCCAGTCCCAGACATGCCTAGTTAAAGGCACTGTTTCTGTTTGCGCCTGTGCAGTGTAAACAGGGTATATTTATATTGACTTAATATAGCATTTGGAAGAAAAAAGGTGTGGGGGTTATAATGTCATAATTTTCATTTTTTTTTTTAAATGTTCTAGTGACCTGCATTTGTTTAAGGATTTATGTGAGGGATTCATGGGTTCTTGGATATTTTTCTTTAAAAGGTTCCTGGGGTGAAAGGGTTAATTAACTGGCCAGACTGTAATTGTATAAGATAATTTAATGGCCAAGCAATTTTTTTTTTTTCAACTATTCCAAACTAAAGAATAAAGTAATTCATTTATTCACTGTTTGAGGTTTGAACAATGGATCAACATCATGGCACACTTGTAGTAACCCGTAATTGCTCCATTCTTCTTCTAACTCAAGTCTGAGTCCGAAGAAGCTCAGCACAGTGCACAGGTTCTGTAGCACCAACGAGGATTCTGAAATACTTTGGGTAGATTTTTAAACTCCAGATTCTGCCCAGGCAAAGTAGCCATTAGGCTACTCTTTTTGATTTCCAACTGCCAAGGGATTTTTTACGTGCGCAACAATGCACACGGGCATCCGATCCAACTACCCAGAGACCAGGGGAAATTACTAAAAGTCCAAGTGCATGTGAAAAAAAAATCCCAGCCCTTACCAGGAACTGAACCGGGAACCTCTAGCACCATGCCTTGAGACCACACAGCCCCCCCTTATTAACTTTTTAAAGTGTTCAGATTTATAATTTACTGTAAATAGGCTAGGTGTTAATATACTAACAATTAAATTAACATTTCCTTTTGGAAATCTCAGCAGCTGTAAGTATCTAACATTATTAAATATTTCAAAACATAAGTAAGTACACAGTGCCTGTGAGTGAGTGCACAATGCGACAATGTGAGTTAAGCTTTCCATTTGGAATAAATACATTTCAAATATGCACTTTGTCTACTTTTTGACTGTGCTCAATGTTTGTGTTGTAACCTGCAGTTTCAGAAAATGGTGAATGGCCTGCTCTTTCCAGTTGGTGACACTAAGTGTTTGCAGGTCTGTCTGGATATTATCTCTCTATCGTCTTCTTGGTCTGCTTCGTTGTCTACGACCATTCATCTCCCTTGTGTATACAGTTTTAATTTCTCTATCATCTGACATTCTTTCAATATGCCCCAGCCATTTCAGTCTATTAGCTTTCATGATGCCAGTGGTCACTGGTGATTTAAACATATTATGAATTTCGTTGTTGCTTCTCACTCTACATTCACCACTGAAATGAGGAAGATATGTATACCTATATTACCAAACAGAACATGATAATGCTGACATACTGACCGTAACTGATGTACTGTAAACCTCAAATATTTATAAGCACATAATCATACCTGTGATGTTCTGAAGAAAGATGAGCGGAATGTTCCGTTGACAACAAAGTTCAATGAAGTGTGTACCCTGCATGACAGAGATAGTTACATTTATATTATACAAGTGTATAAAGAGTTTTAAGTAGATATGTGGAATAAATACATTTTGAATGTGTCCTATGTATACTTTTCAACTGTGCTCAATGTCTGTGTTGTAATGTGCAGTTTCAGAAAATGGTTAATGGCCTGTTGCCACAGAACTGGTGGTGCCTTATGTAACTGACTGCATGTGCAACAACTGATTTGTTGTAACTGCTGCTTACACCAAGGATGAACTGCATAGTCTTTTACATATTCATTTGCCTTGTTTAAGCCTCTTCTTCTTCATGTTAACCAGCTGTTAACCCTGGCGAAAAGTTCCGGTCGTTCATCCACTTCTGGACTGCAGTCCTGTTCCAGAACCTGAGTGTTGCGTGTGCATCCATTTTACAGATCTGATTCATTTGTATGCAGACTGCTGGTTCCTTGCCTCTCAGGCAGATGCACTCCGACTTCAAAGGAAGCTCCAAATCAGTCGACATTTACGACATGCTTTTGGGTAGACAATGGGTCTATTCTTGTTTTCCCCATAATTGGGGCCCGGAACCCACACGGGGGTTTTAGTCTCTCATCATCTCATCATCATCACAAACTTCAGCTCTTGCTCTTCATGAAGAGGAACAGTCGGCGGTCCAGCATTCCATGCACAGAACTGGACACTGTCTCTTCTCGTCATTAAAAGTGAAAAGTAAAGGACCATTTTCCACGCCTTTAGGCTCTATTTTATAGTCCAATTGGCATTTGGCGGGTGATGTGGTCAGCATCATGCTGGCCACCTTTACTTTCCAGGACTTTACCCATTTAAGGCTGGGTCAGCTTGGGAGTGAAGGTCATTTCTGGTGATCAGACAAGAACAGGTGTTTTCTACATGGTATGACCATAGACCTTTTTCTTATTACTATACATTGCAATTTTTTTTTTTAATTTGTCACTATTAAATGCATTTATTGCTTTTTAATTCAGAGAATAATGTAACAGAATAATTAAAGTACATGACATCATAGTGAATCTACAATTTGTAAAGATTTATTTCTTCACCCCCAAATAATATTTCATTCTGTTGGTCTCCCCGTGCCTCTCCTCCCCTCCAAATGTCCTACTGTCACGATGTATTCCAGTTTTCTCCTTTTCATCACTTGACTTGGCAGAGCACTTATGGTTTATAACCGTGTGCAATGACGCTGGTTCACATCTCCTGACTTTACTTTTACCTTTTTACACACGGGAAGGGATGTTTATAAAAACTCACAAAGACTCTTTTTTTGTCTTTCTTGAGTTTCTCAGGAAAGAGTTTCAGAGAATTATAATGATGTGTTTATTTTTGTCATGAAAATGAAGGTGGTCTTTTTTAAAGATGTTAATGGGATTTAAAGAGTTAAGGTTGTTCTAGATGCAAATACTGCATCTTTCGTGTGGTCTTTCACTTGCTCTGTGTTTGCCATATTTCTTCAGTGTGATTCTCTGTGGCAGCTGGTAGCAGGGCTTGTCAGACAGCCAAACCATCTCACAGAATGTAGACAAGTGGCATCAGAAAAATCTAGCATCTGTTCACAAATAGTACAATCAACATCATCATCCTTTGTGAGCCATTAGAGGTCACATGGCCCGCATTTGATTCCTCTACTCCATTTACTGCATGAAACTTTCCCAATTTCTGACATGGTGTTCAGCCCAGCATAATTTTTTTGCCTTTCATAATAATGTTTTTGTTAATGTCTCCCTTGAATGTCCTCTTTTTCTCTCAGACCATTTCTTTCCCATTCCAGTGCCTATTTTGTAATTCTTTGCTCATTTCGTCTCAGGGTGTGCCCAATATATGTCCACCTTCTTTGTCTTATTGCAGTCGATTCACAAATAGTCTAGTCCAACGATATATAAATTACCTTCAATGCTGATTCCGAAAACAGGACCCCATTGTTCCCAATGATACCCACAGGGTAGCCCCATAACCTGGCAAAGCCTGAAAATGAATGAAGAGTTTCAAGAGTTGATTTAAATTGATTCAAGTTAGTTAGTTAGTTAGTTAGTTGAAGGATTATTATACTCAATTGGTTCACGCAATTGTCTTGAATGTCGTAGAGCATTCAGTATATCAACCTGGTCCATGGCTTGTCCAGCTTTTACAGTAGCCTTACCTGCAAGCCTATCAGCTTGCTCATTTTCTTGTACCCCCACATATCCTGGTAGGAAAACGAGACTAATCCTTGTCAGTCGTAAACGCTGTAGAGCCACCAACCTCTGCCTTCGGACCCAGCCTTTCTCTATCTTCCATGATTAGATTCAAGAACTGACATCACAGCAAAATTGACATTCCCATATGTACCCCATCCTAATTTTCAGCAGCCAACAAAGAGTTCCAATTCTGATGGTGCCAGTAGCAGTTTAATTATTTGTTAAATTTGCTTTTCTTCTGCTTCTACTAAGCCTTCACCGACTGTAAACTCTGGTGAAAAGCTCTGATTGTTCATTCATTTCTGGACTTTGGTCTCATTCCAAAACTTGTCATGCTCCGTGCAGAGTGGCAAGCATCACTTCAGAGGTCCCGGGTAGTAAGCGTCCTTTGGATATTTTCTCCAGGTCATGCTGATGTGCTGGGAAATGAGCAGGCAGATAGACTAGCCAGCTCTGCACCACTTGATGGTGAACTGATGTATGACAAGCTATATATTGTGAGGGCCCTTTGGGAGCGACTGAACAGTCTCGCACAGACAGATCATTACGGTTTAAGGAGAATGGCACTGCAGGGAGTTACCAGGTGATCTGGCAGACGCTCAACACTCAGGGAAAGGGCAAAATAGATATACAATCAGACAGTTACTGGTGCAAATCGGAATTGGAACTCGTCCATTGCTGCTAAAGATGCCTGCAGAGTGCTTATGGGGTGTCCTGGGTGCTGCGATGTTGTTTCTTAATTCAACATTAATCCAGAACTTGAGTGTTTTGTATGCACATTCTTATCACAGATCTGGCTTATTTGTATGTAGACTGTTGTTCCTCTCCCCCTAGGTAGATACACCCTGACTTCAAATGAAAGACCACAAATTAGCTAGCCACACAGAAATTGGCATTTAAGATACAGATACAATTTACCATTAAATAAGTTATATAATTTTCTTGTCCCACTTAACAGACACCACAAATTATGAGAGGCCATTTTAAAGATTTGCTCTAGTATGATGGAGTCAAGGTACATATCTGAAAATGTGGCTTGGCCGATTCTCATTTTTTTAAGTTGCTTTACATAACTTTTATTTACCATGCCTCTTTTCTACCTAAAATGTCGAGGTACACAACATAATAGTTAGTAAATTAGTTAGTTAGTAAATTAGTTAGTTAGTTAATTAGTTAGTTAGTCAGCTGACAGATTATCCTAATTGCACATGGAACCATTCAGTCCCTATGTGCTTGGATCCCCTCCTTAGTAAATCCAGCAGTGTGTAACATCTTGTGACTTCCGTTCTGTGTTGTTTTCTTATTTTTCATTGGCTTCCTGCATAGTGCTCTTGTCAGGCCACACCCCTTTTAACCAGTTGTTCTTGCTGCAGATTCACAGTCAGCAGTTGTTTCTCACAAACGTTTTACTTCTTGTATAGCATTTAGAATATCTGCCTAGGTCATGGCTTGTTCGTCCTCCACAGAAGCTTTACCTGCAAGCCAATCTGCTCATTTCCTTGCACACATGCATACCCTGGCAGAAATATAATGTATATGCCCCGACTGCTTCAGAGACCCAAACCACTATTTTCTGATCCAGCCCTTCTCTATCTCCTGAGCATACTCACTGAGTCACATAGAAAGCATGAGAGGAAAAAGGTCTGTGTCTCCAGCCATGTTATTGCTTTGGTCACTGCCAATGACCTCCATGGTCAGACTTCTTGTGGTCAAGGCAACAGCACCAGAAACTTACCTCCCAATTCTAACTCCAACCTGAACCATAAAAGCACAAGAGCTTCTCACACGGAGAATTACAGAACCATTTGTGTAAATGACAGCATCCCCCGGTAGAGAATTCTCGAAAATCAAAGCATGCACATCTGCCTCAACAACGGCTGCACTTTCTTGTCTGCATTTTCTATCTAGTCAGAAGCAAACAGAAAAGGTCGTTCAGCACTCTGTTGGTACTTTTACCCATTCCTCAGGTTCTATGTCCTCAAGTGAACACAGAACATAATATCAAACACAGAACTCACCGGTTATTAACGTTTCTCCATACTTTGTTTTAAACTCATCAAATACACTGCCATCGACTACCCTGGCTATCACCTGTGAGAACAATGCAGTTGAACGGCATAAGAAAACATTCAAAAACATTTACACAGAAAGCATTATTTTAAAGGGATACAGCAACACCTCACTAACACAAATCGTTAAGGACTGAAAAATCAAGAGTTCATATGAAAAAAAAAAGTAGGTAAATATCATGAAAATCACCTCATCTCATCAAGCGAGAGATTTTCCACAGGCTGTCCTATGTTCTAGGGGTGACATGTTTTGTTATTTTCAAAGCTATAAGCATTCCACGTTCCACGTTGTGAACGGCCAGCATATTCTATTTTCCCCGCTGTGAGCGGCCAGCATCTTGTGTGTTACATGCACTGAGCATTCGCTCGTCACCGTTACCGCTGCGGCCTTACTTGGTGACTTGTCCCAGGGGTCACCCAAAAATGCCACCAAATCTCAAACCAGTGATGGTTGTACAAGAGACCGAGCTGACAGAGAATAGAAAACTAGTTTAGCACTCGCTCGCACACACATACTACAACAAACAAAAACAAAGTAAAAAACCACCGTCGCTTAATTTCATCTGCCAAGAAAGAGAGCTCCAGACTATCATGTCGGGCCTTGAAAAGATTGGGAGCCACTTTTCCCGCATGGTGTGTACAGACAGCGAAGGAATGCATACCCCAACACCCCTACAACACAGGGCAGCTCATGGGAACCGCCACGGCATTAATGTGAGCCGGCACCAAATCTCGTGCCCGACGAGATGGGGTGATTTTTGTGATATGTACCAAAAAGTGCTAACCTGAAACTAATAATAATAAAACATCCCAGCAGGGACCACAATTTTATTCATGTTAACCAAGTGTTCTTCTTAAAATAGTCTGTGTTAACAAAGTGTTACTGTATTATACAGTTTTAAAAACAAAATGTAAAAGTAAAGGACTCCATTCATACCAAGGGAGCATCAGGTATTTGATGCTAGACATGTTTTAATAGACCAATTGGCACTTGAGGGTGATGGGGTCAACTAAAGGATTCCATTCCTACCAAGGGAGCATCAGGTATTTGATTTTAGACTCATATTTTAATAGACCAACGATCACTCCGGACCGGCCGCCTTTACTTCCCAGTATATTATACCTGGTACCCATTTTAGGCTGGGTTAACATGATGTGTTTTTTTTTAATGATTCCGTGTGAACTCATCCCACCACCTTCAGGAGAGAGGCAAAACGCCAAGCTGCAATGCCACCACACAGCTCCCATATTACACTGTGCTGTAACAAAACTCCAGCTTCAAAAATATGAGCACCAGATCACTTCCAGAGTTTTCTGGCAATTGAATGGGGGAAAAAAAGGCTTGGAGGAGGGAAACTGGCCAACAGTTGTTACTAAATTTAAGGTAGTCTTACCGTGGTGATAATGCTGTTGAATTGAAGGTAATTTTACTGTGATGACAATGTTATTGAACTTAAAGTAATCTTACCATGGTGATAATACTGTTGAACTGAAGGTAATCTACCCTAATGACAATACTGTTGAACTGAAGGTAATCTACCATGATGACAATACTGATGAACTGAAGGTAATCTACCATGATGACAATACTGATGAACTGAAGGTAATCTACCATGATGACAATACTGATGAACTGAAGGTAATCTAACCTGATGACAATGCTGTTGAACTGAAGGTAATCTAACCTGACGACAATACTGATGAACTGAAGGTAATCTACCATGATGACAATACTGATGAACTGAAGGTAATCTACCATGATGACAATACTGATGAACTGAAGGTAATCTAACCTGATGACAATGCTGTTGAACTGAAGGTAATCTAACCTGACGACAATGCTGTTGAACTTAAAATAATCTCACAGTGCTATTGAACTGAAGTTAATTTGACCCTGATGACAACATTAGTGAACTAAAGGTAACCTATCACGACGACAATGTTACTGAACTAAAAGTAATGCTACAATGTTGCTACTGAAGTGATGTTACCTTGATGATGTTGCTACTGAAGTGATGTTACCTTGATGATGTTGCTAGTGAAGTGAAGGTAGTGCTACTATGATGATGTTGCTACTGAAGTGATGTTACCTTGATGATGTTGCTAGTGAAGTGAAGGTAGTGCTACTATGATGATGTTGCTAGTGAAGTGAAGGTAGTGCTACTATGATGATGTTGCTACTGAAGTGATGTTACCTTGATGATGTTGCTAGTGAAGTGAAGGTAGTGCTACTATGATGATGTTGCTACTGAAGTGATGTTACCTTGATGATGTTGCTAGTGAAGTGAAGGTAGTGCTACTAAGATGATGTTGCTAGTGAAGTGAAGGTAGTGCTACTATGATGATGTTGCTACTGAAGTGATGTTACCTTGATGATGTTGCTAGTGAAGTGAAGGTATGCTACTATGATGATGTTGCTACTGAAGTGATGTTACCTTGATGATGTTGCTAGTGAAGTGAAGGTAGTGCTACTATGATGATGTTGCTACTGAAGTGATGTTACCTTGATGATGTTGCTACTGAAGTGAAGGTAGTGCTACTATGATGATGTTGCTAGTGAAGTGAAGGTAGTGCTACTATGATGATGTTGCTACTGAAGTGATGTTACCTTGATGATGTTGCTAGTGAAGTGAAGGTAGTGCTACTATGATGATGTTGCTACTGAAGTGATGTTACCTTGATGATATTGCTACTGAAGTGATGTTACCTTGATGATGTTGCTAGTGAAGTGATGTTACCTTGATGATGTTGCTAGTGAAGTGAAGGTAGTGCTACTATGATGATGTTGCTACTGAAGTGATGTTACCTTGATGATGTTGCTACTGAAGTGATGTTACCTTGATGATGTTGCTAGTGAAGTGATGTTACCTTGATGATGTTGCTACTGAAGTAAAGGTAGTGCTACTATGATGATGTTGCTACTGAAGTGAAGGTAGTGCTACAATGATGATGTTGCTAGTGAAGTGAAGGTAGTGCTACTATGATGATGTTGCTACTGAAGTGATGTTACCTTGATGATGTTGCTAGTGAAGTGAAGGTAGTGCTACAATGATGATGTTGCTACTGAAGTGATGTTACCTTGATGATGTTGCTAGTGAAGTGAAGGTAGTGCTACTATGATGATGTTGCTACTGAAGTGATGTTACCTTGATGATGTTGCTACTGAAGTGAAGGTAGTGCTACTATGATGATGTTGCTACTGAAGTGATGTTACCTTGATGATGTTGCTAGTGAAGTGAAGGTAGTGCTATTATGATGATGTTGCTAGTGAAGTGAAGGTAGTGCTACTATGATGATGTTGCTAGTGAAGTGAAGGTAGTGCTACTATGATGATGTTGCTACTGAAGTGATGTTACCTTGATGATGTTGCTACTGAAGTGAAGGTAGTGCTACTATGATGATGTTGCTACTGAAGTGATGTTACCTTGAAGATGTTGCTAGTGAAGTGAAGGTAGTGCTACTATGATGATGTTGCTACTGAAGTGATGTTACCTTGATGATGTTGCTACTGAAGTGAAGGTAGTGCTACTATGATGATGTTGCTACTGAAGTGATGTTACCTTGATGATGTTGCTAGTGAAGTGAAGGTAGTGCTACTATGATGATGTTGCTACTGAAGTGATGTTACCTTGATGATGTTGCTAGTGAAGTGAAGGTAGTGCTACTATGATGATGTTGCTAGTGAAGTGAAGGTAGTGCTACTATGATGATGTTGCTAGTGAAGTGAAGGTAGTGCTACTATGATGATGTTGCTACTGAAGTGATGTTACCTTGATGATGTTGCTACTGAAGTGAAGGTAGTGCTACTATGATGATGTTGCTACTGAAGTGATGTTACCTTGAAGATGTTGCTAGTGAAGTGAAGGTAGTGCTACTATGATGATGTTGCTACTGAAGTGATGTTACCTTGATGATGTTGCTACTGAAGTGAAGGTAGTGCTACTATGATGATGTTGCTACTGAAGTGATATTACCTTGATGATGTTGCTAGTGAAGTGAAGGTAGTGCTACTATGATGATGTTGCTACTGAAGTGATGTTACCTTGATGATATTGCTAGTGAAGTGAAGGTAGTGCTACTATGATGATGTTGCTAGTGAAGTGAAGGTAGTGCTACTATGATGATGTTGCTACTGAAGTGATGTTACCTTGATGATGCTGCTAGTGAAGTGAAGGTAGTGCTACTATGATGATGTTGCTAGTGAAGTGAAGGTAGTGCTACTATGATGATGTTGCTACTGAAGTGATGTTACCTTGATGATGTTGCTAGTGAAGTGAAGGTAGTGCTACTATGATGATGTTGCTACTGAAGTGATGTTACCTTGATGATATTGCTAGTGAAGTGAAGGTAGTGCTACTATGATGATGTTGCTAGTGAAGTGAAGGTAGTGCTACTATGATGATGTTGCTACTGAAGTGATGTTACCTTGATGATGCTGCTAGTGAAGTGAAGGTAGTGCTACTATGATGATGTTGCTAGTGAAGTGAAGGTAGTGCTACTATGATGATGTTGCTACTGAAGTGATGTTACCTTGATGATGCTGCTAGTAAACAGAAGGTGATTTTACCATGATAATGAAGCTACAAAACCGAAGGTTATCCTACCTCTCGGACATCAAATGTCTTCTTCAGATTGTCACCCACAATACCATACAGCTCTTCGGCTGGATACAGAGGCTCGACTGGCCGCTCTACTGTCACCTGAATATAACCAAATAAATACTAACCATTACAGCAATAAACTTCATCAGCCTTTCACCCACCAGGTTGAATGAGAGATGACAGAAGTGCACCACCTAGAGGGGTGAATACAGAAAGAAGGGCTAAAGCTAAAAGCAAAGTTTTACGAATGTGCTTACAGGGATGAAGGAGGATAATTATTGCACTATGTAACATTATCGTCTGGACAGACAGGTGCCAACAATGAAAGATGCCAACAATGAAAGGTGCCAACAATGAAAGGTGCCAACAATGAAAGATGCCAACAATGAAAGATGCCAACAATGAAAGGTGCCAACAATGAAAGATGCCAACAATGAAAGGTGCCAACAATGAAAGATGCCAACAATGAAAGGTGCCAACAATGAAAGATGCCAACAATGAAAGGTGCCAACAATGAAAGATGCCAACAATGAAAGGTGCCAACAATGAAAGGTGACAACAATGAAATGTGAAAACAATGAAAGGTGCCAACAATGAAATGTGAAAACAATGAAAGGTGTGAACCAAGTTTCTCTAAATCTCTTCTTCTCTTCCAGCAGTTACCACAGTGAAGTTAGGAAGGATGTAAAAAAAAAAAAAACTGTCTGCATGCTCTTTCTAAAGAGCTATGTAAGTTGACCATCATGTCTGTGTGTTTGTTTGTCCTTGATGTACCACAGACCTCCCCTTACTCTGTATTCATTATCGTTCCTAACCTGGCTCCCTGTTGTAGATGGTACCAGGACACTTTTGACAGATGGCCAAACCATTTCAATTATTCTTTATATTGTGGACAGCAGAAGGTAAAAAAAAAAAGATGTGGTTGACCAAAGGAAACCTGGAGAAGGACAACAGAAAGGAAAGTGAAGGAAGGAATGTAAAATGACATAGGATATCACAGGTAGAAAAGCAGTAGACCTGCAACAGTGCAGAAAAACAGCAGAACTGGTAAAAGTGGAGATCGTCAACAGTAAAGATCCTTATGTGTCAGCAGCAACATAAAAAGAATATAGATAAATCTTTTATAAACAGAATCATGCTCCGTGCAGAGTGGCAAGCATCACTACAGAGGTCCCGGGTAGTTAGCATCCTTTGGATATTTTCTCCAGGTCATGCCGGTGTGTTGGGAAATGAGCAGGCAGAAAGACTGGCCAGTTCTGCACCCCTTGGTGGTGAACTGATGTGTGACCAGCTAGATATTGTGAGGGCCCTTTGGGAACGAGTGAACAGTGTTGAAGCACAAATAACTCATTAAGGTGTGGGAGTTACCAGGGGATCTGGCTGACGCTCAACACTCAAGGAAAGGGTGAGACGGATATAGAATCAGACAGTTACTGGTGCCATCGGAATTTGAACTTTTCACTTGCTGCTTAAGATGAGGACGGAGTGCTTAAAAGGGTTGTTCCGAGTGCTGTGATGTCGATTCTTAATTAGACATTTATAAACAGAATGACTGGTGTCATTCCTAGTCTCCATATTTCTTCGTATTTAACTGTACCTCTTCTTGATTCCCTGACAGCTGTTCTAAGACACCCTCTCTCTGATGGTATTTTCTGCCAATCAGCTGTAGTATAAGAATCCATGTTTTACACTGACAACATAATATCAGCCAAGAAAATAACTTTCATTATTGTAAGATTTGCTTTGGTAGGCATAGAGTATTGATATGTTATATCGAGTCTGTTCTGTTGTATGGCAGTGAATCTTGGAATGTGAGCAAACAAATTAAGAAGAGTTTGGAGGCAACTGAGATGTGGTTCGTGAGAAGAATATTGAAAATACCTTAGACTGTCAGAATATCCAACATTGAATGCCTGGAAATGGCTAATGAAAGTAGAACATTATATACAACAATGAAAAGGAGACAAACAAAGTTCTTTGGTCATGTGATGAGAAAAGGAGCACTGGAAAATATCGTGACAACTGGAAAGATCACTGGTAGAAGAGGCAGAGGCAGACCAAGAGAAAAGATGGTGGATGGCTTAAGACAATGGTACAGAGGAATATCCTCAGTAGAATCGATCTAGAACACCAAAGACAGAGATCTGTGGTGACGCATGAACGCCTACGCAGGCTGGCAAGGCACTTGATGATGATGAGGCACAGTCAATCCTTTTTTAGAAGTGGTGGTAGTTGTCCTACTATCTCCAAATGTCAGTTATATATATATATTAAGGACATTTACACCATGTTCACCTTTGCCATCAAAGCAAAGATGTAAAGGATGACAAAACAAACATACTTAATTCCAGTTACTCGTACATTCATACCCCGGGGTCTTTGATGTAGTTGAGGTTCTTGATGACCCTCTTGGCTATGTGCAAGGCATGGACTTCATCCTGGGCATAGTGGTCAGTTACACCAGATTCTCTGAAAAAAAGTCATAGGTATTCATGCACATTTAGTATAATCAATCAATAAAGGATATCTTAGAAAATTAGAAAAGCTGAGTAACTCTGAGAAGTGATAAAATAAATTATAAAAAATAAAACCACTAAAAAACTAGGACTGAAACCAGTCATACAATTCATTAAATAGCAACTACAGTGTGGGTTCCAAGATCCTATTGGGGGGAGGTGGTGGTTGGGGGGGGGGGGGGGAGAGGGACAGGCTTACTGCCTCCTAATAAACATGTTGTAAAAGGGGACTTTTTGGGGATTTTGTCTTAGGAGTGCATTTGCCTAAGTGGCATACAAGTAAGCCACATCTATAAAAATGATGTGTACTCAAAACTCAATTTATCAATTAAACAGTCAAGCTTGATAATAAACTACAGAAACCTGAGATATATATCCCAAGGGTACTCCAATGTTCCAGATTCCAAAAGGGATTTCATACCAAGTCAGTGTGCCCCAGCAAAACAGAGATTTGCAGATATTGTGCTGACTCTCACTCCTATAATGAGTGTCCATTAGCAAAGCAAGATAAAAATTATCAAAAAACAATAGCAATCGACGATGCAGCAACTGTTTTGGACAGCACGGGGCGAGGTATTTTGGATGTCCTTATCTGCAACATTGCCAGGAGATACTCAAGATAGCAATTACTGAGAGAATACCATGCAAAGAAGCCAGAAGAAAATGCAAAGAATCCGAATACTTCACCCCAGTGGAGAAATCCAGGATGCAGAATCAGATCAGAAACTTAGAAGAAGAGGTCAAGATATTAAAGGCAAATAAGCTGACTACAGAGAAAAACATGCCAGAAATTGATGACCAAGCAAGACAGATACTTGCAGAGATGAAAGAGATGAGAGAGATATCGGACTACAATATAAAGACACTTAATAACATAAAAGCAGAAACAATAGCAGCACTACAGGAATTGCAGAAAAGGCAGGATGAAAGCCGTGAAGACAACAGTTCAAGCAACCCCAAATAGACCAAGACAACAGCGAAAAGCCAATAGACGATAAACCAAAAGAAACATCGCTGAAAGAGTCTACTGGTAAGCAGCAAGAACTTGAAGACAGACACAATGCAGAAATGAACAGAAGGTTTTCACCAGGAAGCATCAAAACCAAAGAAGACCGAAGAAAACAAGCTCAATACGGAAAGAGATTGAGAGAAGAGATGAGAGAGACGACAGAGAAGACAACATCCACAGACACCTACCAGCCAGACCCAAAACGTCAAACAACACAGAGGACGCCAGACAAAGATGAGAAGCAGAAAAACACCAGCAAAGATGGAAAGACAAAATTACATAAAAGTCCTTGTAAGGACTAAGCATTATTACATCCCAGAAGCCAAGACAGAGCGGCAAAACGTGACAGGAAGAATAGAAGCCAGAAACAACCAATCAGAAAATAGGAATCACAAGACGACGAGAGGATAGGACAGAACCAAAATGCAATATTCAGATGTGTCCTAACATAATCAGGAACGAAACAAAGAGACACAATTAAGAAATAGAAGACCCTTGCCTCCGGATATAACAACATCAGGTACAAAACAACTCTATACAAGGAAGAAGCAACATCAATTAAACCGTTTAAAACAACATAACAAAATGGAACCAAAGGAAACAATATTCAAACAAACCATACTCAATAAAGATCGCAAATATAGGCATCAGCTACATAGCTGAAAATGTCTGAACGAGATCGAATTATCTTTTTCTTTTACAAGAAGCCAGCCAGCCAAAACTCAATTTCTGAAACAAGACTAAAGTCCAGAAGAGGATGAACAGCCAGAAATTTTTGCCGGAGTATACAGACAGTGAATGAAGAAGAGATGGTCTGGCCACCCGACAGTAATGCCCTGTTATGACTTTTAAAAAGTAAGGGTTCTGTGGTAGACCTTTGAAACTAAGCAGGGTCTGGTGATAGGAAGCCACTTGTTTATCTTATTTCAACTCAAACTGCTTTACTTTCATAGCTCCAAGTACAAAGAGTTTTAAAATACATCATATAGAATCTTCTTTTATTTCTTTGTGTTTATCGACTGTAAACTCAATCAAAAAGTTCAGGTTGTTCACCCACTTCTGGACTTTAGTCTTGCTCCAGAACTTGAGTTTTGCATACACATTAATTGTTACAGTTTGTACTTCAGTTGTCACCTTATCAGGAAATAAAGATGAATATGTAAGACTTACCCACAATGCAGATCTGCACCACCCAAATCTTCAGCAGTAACTTCTTCGCCTGTTGCAGCTTTCACCTGCAAGCAAAACATTTTCCTTTACAACCGTTTACTTTCCATGACAAGACCATTTATTATTGTCTGCTTGCTCCATAATAAGACTCTATGACTGTTTACTTCTTCCATGACACGATTGTTTACTTGTTCCACGAAAGACTGTTTATGACTGCTCACATGTTCTATGACAAAAAAGTTTAGGGTTGTCTGCTTGTTCCATGATAAGACTGTCTATGATTGTTTACTTTACGTGTTCCATGACAAGACTGTTTGATTGTTTACTTGTTCCATGACATGATTGTTTACTTGTTCCACAACAAGACTGTTTATGATTGTTAACTTTACATGTTCCATGACAAGACTGTTTGATTGTTTACTTGTTCCATGACATGATTGTTTACTTGTTCCACGATAAGACTGTCTATGATTGTTTACTTTACGTGTTCCATGACAAGACTGTTCGATTGTTTACTTGTTCCATGACATGATTGTTTACTTGTTCCATGACATGATTGTTTACTTGTTCCACAACAAGACTGTCTATGATTGTTTACTTTACATGTTCCATGACAAGACTGTTTGATTGTTTACTTGTTCCATGATATGATTGTTTACTTGTTCCACGATAAGACTGTCTATGATTGTTTACTTTACGTGTTCCATGACAAGACTTTGATTGTTTACTTGTTCCATGACATGATTGTTGACTTGTTCCACAACAAGACTGTTTATGATTGTTAACTTTACATGTTCCATGACAAGACTGCTTATGATTATTTGCTTGTTCCATGATGACTATGATTGTTTAATTTACATGTTCCATGACAAGATTGCTTATGATTGTTTACTTGTTCCCTAAAATGACCGTTTATGATTCTTTGCCTGTTGAATCTCAAAACTACAATAGCTCAAATGTTCCATGACAAGACTATTTATGATTATTTACTAAAATGTTTCATGACCTGACTTTTAGTGATTGTTAACTTTACAGCTTCCATGACAAGAATACTTACGACTTTACATTATCCATGGCATGGTTGTTTACATGTCCCATCATATGACTGTTTAAAATTATCTGTATGTTCAATGACTGTTTGCAGTTTGTTTACACATTCCATTACATAACCAATTATGGCTGTTTACATTTTCCATGACATGTTTAAGATTGTTTACTTTACATTTCCTGACATGACCGTTCGATTGTTATGTTTGTTAACAAGACTGTTTACGACCCATAATGAGAATTCTCTAGAACCGTTAAACTGGAGACTTACCAGAGGTGGACCACCCAGAAAGATGGTTCCTTGCTTGCGGACAATGATACTCTCATCAGCCATGGCTGGTGTGTAGGCACCACCAGCTGTGCAACTACCTAACACAACTGCAACCTGCAAAATGTTAATTAAATAATCATAAATCAAATTTACTATAAATTCCGTCTGCTAACAAAGAAGGGGGTTGCCGATTTTAATTGTTATTGCTTTCAGCCATTCTCAACAGTCGCCTGTTCGGAGTGTGATAAACCACACGGAAAGCACTGTCTGTGTTAATTACATGTCTGGAATTGTCCGGAACAGGACGTCATCTACTTAATTCCAGACACGTAATTGACACAGACAGTGCTTTCTGTGTGGTTTATTACCCTCCGAAAAGGCAACTGTAGAGAATGGCCGAAGCAATAACAATTAAAAATAATAAATCAATCATAATCACTTCCACTGAAGCCAATATCCAGACAGCATATATTGTCTTGAGTTTAAATCCACACCACGACAGATTTTCATGAAATGACCTAACCTCCTAGGTCAACCCAGCCTTAAATGGGTAGAAGAAAATTCCTGGAAAGTAATGCGACCACTGCAGCCTTTTATCTGTGCAGCTGTTGAGTCGTGGTATTCAATATAGCCGGTTCACGTGTGGGTAAGTGAAAAACCTTACGAAATAATTTTACATGTGTATAACCAACTTATCATGTCCAACTACTTCCATCAACGACAAACTGCATTTCTGGCGGCGACTGTTGGATTTGATACCTCTGGCAACTGCCTTATGCATTTACTGCGTGCTAATATTTCTGGATTGTTCCGGGACTAATTATTTGTTCACAAATTTTTCAAATGAGACAGTGAGGGACATTTTATTTGATTTTCACTGGCACAGGAACGGAGCAAGTATGTTCTTCTTCTTCTTTTGTTGACCAGCTGTAAGCTTCGTGTGGAAAGTCCTGGTTGTTCGTCCATTCGGACTTTGGCTTAGTGCCAGGGCTTGAGTTAGTTTTACATGTATATCCATTTTACTGGCTTATTTGTGTGCAGCTGGTTGTTGCTGGCCATTCGGGCAGATGCACTCCGACACTGAAGGAAAGCCCACTCCCCCTCCCCCCCCCCCCCCACCCCAAAAAGCTGACTCCTACGACATGTTTGTTGGAGAGGCAGTGGGTCTATTAGTATTTTCCTCACTGTGGGACCCCGTAACCCACATGGGGAACACTTGTTCTACTACTACTTCCTCTCTACTTCCTCTTCGGGTGTCAAGGGAGATATAAGGTTCTGCTTCTTGTACTTCTGCTGCCTTGAGCATAGACAGGTCTGTTGTTATAGTTCTGCAAAGACAGTTTTATCAATTGGCAGTGAATCTATTCTCCTAAATGAAGCCACACAAGGAAGTACAGCTATATATAAAAAATCAAACCTGGGGAATGCGTTTAGCTGACATTATGGCTTGGTTATAAAATATGTGCCCGAAATGATCTCGATCTGGGAAGACTTCATCTTGTCTTGGCAGGTTAGCTCCCCCAGAGTCAACTGTAATGTAAAAGAGGCACAGCGAAAAAATACGACCTGTATAAGAAACATAACTGTACAAACCAAAGATATATTACTGCCTGGAAGACCGTATATTAACTCTTATGTCTGATGTGTGCCATACAGGTTACCTAATCCCTGAAAGAACTTGCATTTTATGTACGTGTGTGTATATGCATGTGTATGTGCGTAAGCGAATGAATGGGTGGGCGTGTGTGCGCAAGTGTGAGCATGCATTTTACCACCCGTGTATTTTTTCTTGATATTCATAATATGCATATTATTACATGAACATAACATGCTTAATTGATAAAATACAACTGTAGTGTGAAAGATGGGTGTTTGGAAGGGCCAAATATAAGGCCGGGCCTGCGTGCCTGATTTGTGACCCTTTAAAAATAAAGTTTCTTTATTCGTTCATAGTGAGTTCCACGAGTCAAATTCAAAGTTAAAGGAGAGAAGAGTGACTTCCCTGCACTGAATGTTATCCTATATGGCTCGGTCTCTGTGGTCTCATGAACTCCGTAGCTCCAGTGAGGATCTCTAGAGATCTCCATAAAAATTGCACTTATGAACTGAATGGTGAGTCTGTGAAATGAATCCACGACCTTCAGAGCATAAGGCAAATGGCTTGGCCACTTTAGTTTGAAGCACAGGCTCGAAGACTGAAAGTCAACTCTTAAAACAGAAGCACTGAATGGAAGACTGAAAGTCAACTCTTAAAACAGAAGCAGTGTCTGGAAGACTGAAAGTTAACTCTTAAAACAGAAGCACTGACTGGAAGACTGAAAGTTAACTCTTAAAACAGAAGCAGTGACTGAAAGACTGAAAGTCAACTCTTAAAACAGAAGCAGTGACTGGAAGACTGAAAGTCAACTCTTAAAACAGAAGCAGTGACTGGAAGACTGAAAGTCAACTCTTAAAACAGAAGCACTGACTGGAAGACTGAGTGACAACTCTTAAAACAGAAGCAGTGACTGGAAGACTGAAAGTCAACTCTTAAAACAGAAGCAGTGTCTGGAAGACTGAAAGTTAACTCTTAAAACAGAAGCAGTGACTGGAAGACTGAAAGTCAACTCTTAAAACAGAAGCAGTGACTGGAAGACTGAAAGTCAACTCTTAAAACAGAAGCAGTGACTGGAAGACTGAAAGTCAACTCTTAAAACAGAAGCAGTGACTGGAAGACTGAAAGTCAACTCTTAAAACAGAAGCACTGACTGGAAGACTGAAAGTCAACTCTTAAAACAGAAGCACTGACTGGAAGACTGAAAGTCAACTCTTAAAACAGAAGCAGTGACTGGAAGACTGAAGTCAACTCTTAAAACAGAAGCACTGACTGGAAGACTGAGTGTCAATTCTTACGTCTGAAGCACATATAGATAGTTAGTTAGTTGCATATCCTGTACAGGACGTTGCAGAATCAATCCCAGCATTTTTTTTTTGGGTGCTTGTTGTAGTTTTTTTAATCAAATTTGCATCCAGTAGTTTGCCATTGCTTTCTTAATGGTTTATTTATACCATTGTTGAAACCAACGCAAGGCGCAAAGACCTGCAGCTGGGATCGAACCCGGAACCCCAGCACTACAAATCGCGTTCGTAAAGCCCAAGCCACAGACGCTGACATTAAATGTAATCATTATAAAGATATTTCAAACACCAGCTTACCTAAATATATACATGGCAGTCGATTCTGCAATGCTATTTCCTGGGCTCGCAGATGTTTCTTCACAGTTATAGGATAATAGGTACCTCCTTTAACTGTGGGGTCGTTGGCTGTGATCAAGCACTCAACTCTGCATAGACATATTTTTGTTTTTCAAGTAACGTACATTATTAAAGACTGTGATCCATCAGGTATATGATGCTAGGTTCATATTTCTATAGAACCAATCAGATCCAGTGGGGGATATTGCCAATATAACACTAGCTGCCTTTACTCCCCAGGACATTACCTGGTGTCCATTTTAGGATGGGAGGGTCTAAGGGTTAACGTCAATTGTGAAAGAGAACAAAAATCTGCCTCAATATGGTTTCAAACCCTAGACACTAGGGCCGGCAGATAAGTGTCTAGCCCCTACACTTCCACAGGTCTAGTAAAGCCATATGTTCATGTTTAAATACGCTGTTCACCCATCTTATGCATGGGCAGGTATGAGTGTGTGTATGTACACATGTATGTGTGTGTGTGTGTATATGCATGCATGTGTGAATGTGTGTTCGTGTGTATGTAAGCATGTATGTATGTAGGTATTATGTATCTGTGTATGTATATTGTGTTTGTTTGTTTATATGTATGTATGTGTGTATGTATATATAAATGCACATGCCACTCATGAAAAATAAAGTTCATTCATTCATTCTTCCCATTCTTGTAATGAAATATGAGAAGCCTCATAAAATTTGGTACCAAACAATGTTCAGAGGTTCCTGGAAATAGTCTGGGAAGGAAAGACACACAATGGGAGAATCGGCCGCCCCACCTCATATGAATATGTGATGGTCTGATCTGATCATTCATATTTCAGTAGCAGTATCTGCCAGGGACTCTACTACTGTACCGCTGCTGCTGCTATTATTACTACACCATAGTGCCTTTCCAGAGGATAAGCATTTTATTTTGCTGTGGGGAGGAATGGGTCTCATAGCCCATGGTAATGGCGAGTGTGACTAGCAAGATCCACCTGTGTTAAGAAAAGTATACCACAATTACAGCATGGGATTTCGGAATTGTTCTTGACATCAAATGTATTAGGCATGCTTATTCTTAGCTCTCAAACTACCCTACAATCATTTTTTTTTTTCAATCCCATTCTCTTCCTGATTTTGCCCCCTCCATCAACACGATTATTGGCATTTTGTTCTCATGAATCTACCTCAATACCTGTATCATGCATGTCCCGCTTGTACACATCTTTATACTGTAGTAGAGGCTGACCTTGAAAATGCCTCTACGTCTACAATTTATCATAGAGGATGTCATTAAGGACTCTACCATCCTTCATTCTCCAGGTGTGACCCAGGCACCTGAGCTTTCGGAGATGAGGGTTGAGAAAACTGTTCGATACATGCTCCTTTCAGCACCTCAGTGTTTGTGATCTTGTCTTGCCACTTAATGCCAAGTATTCTTCTTAGGTATTGTATGTGAAAGCTACTTAGGTATTCAGATATTTTCTAATACTACTACTATGATTACTACTATTATTATGATTACTACTACTACTACTACTATGACTACTACTACTACTTACTACTACTACTACTACTACGATTACTGCTCCTATGATTACTACCACTACTATGATTACTACCACTTCTATGACTAGTACTACTACTAAAACTATTACAACTATTATTTCTTCTACTACTTTGGCAAAGACTACTACTAGTACTTTTAACTTATTCACATGACTGAAACTGAAACTTACCCAGACACCCTTCCAATGCCCGTAATGATCCCTCCAGCTGGAACATAGTCCTCCCCATACATGTTGTATCCAGCCAGCTGACTGAACTCTAGAAAAGGAGACCTGTGACAAAATTAAACGTAGAGTTTCTAAAGTAAAACCTTACCGAAAACCCAGAATCTGGTTTTACAAAAATTTTTATTTCTTTTTCAACCATAGGTAAAAAAAAAATTAAAGAAAGTGTATCAAAAACATAAGATCATCATCATCATAAACATACGAAAATTACAGACCAAGGCAAGTTGTAAAAAATATACGAAGATAAACGATACCCACAAAATGCCCTGCATCATTCTGTTTGTTCAGTTACAGAAGGTATATTTCAAAGCAAGGAATAGAATCAAGAACTTGATGACAGCTGACAAGATCAACAGAAAGAGGGCAAGGGGAGAGCAAAGAGATAAATACCTTGATGGCCTGGCAGCATGCATATGGCTTGACAAGAACACTGACCTGATTATTAATTCTACTGATAGTGTAGGAGATGAATCATGACTATGCAGGGGGAGAGCAAAGAGATAAATACCTTGATGGCCTGGCAGCAAGTATATGGCTTGACAAGAACACTGACCTGATTGGTAATTCTACTGATTAGGTAGGACTTTTTTTTCATTGAAATAGGTGTGTTGGGCCAACAGAAGTTTAGGAACCACTGGATAAGATGGTCCCCAAATCACATCCGCATGCTGCTACTAGGATGATGCATGCTCTCAAAATTTTGATTTTGGCTTGCTTGCTGATGCTTGGCCATAAGGCAAAAAGACAAAAAAGAAGACAAAAACAAATCAAAGCTATACTTACTGTGGATCTAGTAATGTGTTTATTCTGTCCCTAGGTAACATTTTCCCTCTAGATGTGTGACGTTCTGTAGCTTTCTCACCACCACCTGAAAGAATTCAAACAAATATATAAAAGAGTCAAATTTTTTCGAATTATGTTATTCATCATAACTCCTTGAGTTGCTCTTCTGCAGCATGGCTCTTTTTTTTTTTTAAATACTTAGCTACCTTTCAGGTTTAAAAGGAGAACTTCACTTTACTATGTTTTTTTTTTTTCTAATGGCTCATCTCTCTTCCAGTATACCCTGCATCTCAGCTATGGCATCATCCTCCACAGGAAATAAAAATATTACTAACCCCTTTACATACAAAAGGAAACTATTTGAATATGGATTTCACTACAGACCCTTAAAAGATCATAAGAGGACTGCATGGTCTCGAGGTATGAGTGCCCGCCTCAAGTGCTAGAGGTTCTGGGTTCAATCCCGGTAAGGGCTGGAATTTTTTCATGTGGTCTCGGGCTTCTAGTAATTCTCCCTGGTCTCTGGGTAGTGAGATTGGATGCCTATGTACATTGCTGCGGACGTAAACAAATCCCTTGGCAGTTGGAAATCAAAAGCCTAACGCCGGGGAAAATTTGGAGTTAAAAATCTACCCAAAGTATTTTAGGAACCTCGCCGGTGTTACAAAGCCTGTGCACTGTGCTGAGCTTCTCGGACTCAGACTTGAGTTAGAAGAAGAACCGAGCACTTATGGGTTACTACCCGTGTGCCATGATGTTGAACCGTTGTTCAAAACCTTAAAACTCAAAAGATCATAGTATGTTAAGCCTATGATGTATTTCCATTGGATATCTTATTTCTTTCCACCGTATATAACTAATATTTAACTGATGGTAATGATGTTTATATTAAGCCACCTATCAGACTTAAACCATTTTTGGATTAGGTTTATTACTATACTCTTTAAAATGTTCAGTAATGTAAATACAATTAAGACTTAGATGTTGTGAACATTTTTAGAATGCTAGGAATAAATCCAGTCCTACAGGTCATCAAAGAACAACAAATGAAGTTGTTGGATACCTAACAAGAATGCCCTGGTACTATCTACCACAGCGAGCGATACTTAAACGTTACAATGGATTATAGTGCGAGCAGAAGATTTCTCTGCTGAATGTTGAATTAGGAATCGACATCACTGCACTCGGGACACCTCCATAACCACTCCATCCCCATCTTCAGCAGCAAGCAAAGAGTTGAAATTCCGATGGTACCAGTAACTGTCTGATTTTATATCCGTCTCGCCTTTCCCCTGAGTGTTGAGCGTCAGCCAGATCCCCTTGTAGCTCCTCACAATGCCGTTCTCCTCAGACCGTAATGATCTATCTGTGCCTCGGCACTGTTCGCTAGCTCCTAAAGTGCCCTCACAACGTCCAGCTTGTCATTAGATAGATTTCTTTAATTCTGACTACTGATCCCAGGTCGACCTAGTCTAAAAATAGGGATGCTTTATTATTATCCTACCCCAAACAGGGAAAATCCACAGGTCACTGGACAGTATAATATTTCAGGGGATGGTAGATAGGCTGCATGTAGTCGTGGAACCAAGGCTGCATGCAGTCGTGGGACGTAGGTGGGTTGGGAAGAGGACCAATTCTAGATGTTTTGGGATCGTTAAAAGCATCAGAAAGCCGGGAAACCTAGCCTTACCACCTTCTAAAATGTTGGACTGTCCAGTCTGGTAGTCTGAGTTTCAGCTTCATAGCAAACGGGTCACCCCATCTTTGCTCCGCCCCTGTGCCAACGAAAAACACACAGAATGTTCATCAAAGTATTAAAATTGCAGTTCATCATTGATGGTAGCAGAAGTCGCCAACAGATCAGCTGAAGCCCACGCGATCAATTTTAATCACATACGGGCACCACAACACTGCACGACAGGCATCACGCCATTTCCTGTCCAGTGACTTCAACAGGGGTAGGATATTAATAAAGTACTAAAACAGGTACTGTGACTTTGCTATGGGAAATAACAATTACTAGAACAATACTGACCATATTTCTCAAGTGCTATTGGTCTATTAAAAAAATGCAGCTGACACAAATTCCATCCATAAGAACAGGCTCTACCTACCTATCATGTTTCACCAAAAATAAGACCAGGTCTTAGATTAATTTCTGCTCCAAAATACACCATTTTGTTTTTACGTTTTTTTTTTAATCCAAGAGATGTCTTATTTTTCAGAGTACAAAAATTAACATTTATTGAAGAAAAGAAATATACATTTATTTAAGCACAATAATATACATTTATTCAAAAATGTACACTTATTTATATAATTAATGTGAATATTATTTAGTTATGTTTATTAACCTTTAGCACCCCACAATAAAAATCGAACTGGCTCAGAAAAATTGATCACACAAACCTACTCTCGGCCTCCTAGCAATCAAAACAGACAAAGAGGAAGTGAAACCCATTAGAAGGTCACACGCGTAGCTCCGTTTTTCGTTTTATATAGATTATTGACGAGGTGGGCGGCTTATACTCGATGTGGGGTGCTAAAGGTTAATACATTCATTTTTTTTTTTTTTTTTTTAACATTGGATGAATGAAACTGGACATCCGGCCGATGGTCTTAACTAGGGTTTAAATATGGGTCCTGCTTATATTACAAGCACCCTGAAAAATCATGTTAGGATTTATTCTTATGTTTTACCCTTTTAACCTTTACCCTTTAACCTTTCAGGGAAAAGCAGTAGAAAAGAAAAAAGAAAAACAAAAGACTGCTAGACTCTAAATATGTTAGAGAAGCTGAGTAGTCTCAAGGCATGGCGTCCACCTTGAGTGCTGGAGGTCCCAGATTTAAGCCCCTATCAAGCTTGGGATTTTTTCATGTGGACTTCTAGTCTTTTCCCCTGGTCTCTGGGCAGTAAGATCGGATACCTGTGTGTATTGCTGAGCACGTACAAAATCCCTCATATGGCAGTTGAAAATCGAAAAGAGTAGCCTAACGGCGCTGCACAGGCAAAATTTGGAGTAAAAAATCTACCCAAAGTATTTCAGGATCCTTTCCAGTGCTACGGAGATCATGCATTGCACTGAGATTTTTTGGAATCAGGCCTGAGTTAGAAGTAGAATGTAGCACTTATGGGTTACTACCCTTGTGCCATGATGTTGATACATTGTATAAACCAAACCAAATATGTAAAAGACAAAGAAATGTTAATTACTTCACACTTGCCTTGTAAAATAACAGAGACCCTGTCCCTGAGTTCTTGCACCAAAGCTTTCATCCGCCCATACTTCTCCTGTGAATGACACACAAACAGAACACAGAAAATTAACTCTTTCAGTCCCGACCAGTTACTCTAGCTCTTTATATCCCAGGGATTTGCATTTAAGAGCAATAAATACTTAGGTCTCAAAGAGCTGGTCAAAGACACTATAGGAAAGAAGATGGTAAACTAATAATTCATAAAGAAAGTGATAATTTAACAAGTGTCTATGATAGAATACAGTGAGAAGATTATACCATCTTAGTCCCAGTGTGGGTTCCAGGGCTCCATTGGGGGAAAAACAAGAATAGACCCACTTCTTCTTCTTCTGCCTTTTCTATCCCCCAATGGAGCATAGGCCCTCAACCAACTCACGCCAAGTCGTTCTATCCTTCGCCATTACATGGAGCTCTCCCCATGTCCTCCCAATCTTTCTAACCTCGTTCTCCAGCTCTCTTCTCTATGTGTTTTTTGGCCTTCCTTTATTCCTATGCCCCTGTGGGTTCCAATGCAAAGACATTCTAGTAATGCTGTTCTCCTGTTTTCCTCAGTGTGTGCCCTATCCAACGCCAGCGTCTTTTGAATAGACCCACTGCCTCCCCAAAAGCAATAAGCACGTCATATGAGTTGACTAACTGGGGTCACCCCAACCTGCTGTCAAATGTGGATAAATCATAAGTCATATCTAATATCACTGGATATAATATGGAATTAAAGCAGGCCGAGTCAGAAAGTATGATTATGCTGCATGGGCAAACTCGTGTCAATGTCTAGTATCTCCTGAAATTTGTAAAATAAAAATACTACTCACTTCACTACTACTCAAGCTTTTGTGCTATGGGGGGGAGGAGGCACTTCATCCCTCGTCTTTAAATTGTATCGCTAAAGCTAAGGTAAGGGATGATTCCCACCCTTCCCTTTAGGACAATGGGACACTATCGTCTGGAAGTTAAGACGGAAAGAAGCCAGCACAACAACAGTACTGAAAGAATATGTAGTCTGCTAAGAGGTGACATGTGAAAGTGAATCATGAGCAACACAAACCGGACACACACACTTCACACACACAAAGCACCTGATATTCAGGAGAATCCAGGTCTTGTCGAGTCCCTATTCTCGGTGCAATATCAAGCGAAGACAAAGTTCGAGCTATACATTTTTGTGGGCTAATAAAGTCGGGCTTTCGGATCATAAAAGTCCGCAGCATGGTTGAATGTGAGGGGGGGACGGTATACAGACACGTCCCAGCTGCAGACAGAACCCTGGACTTGAGATAATTTTAATTGTTTGGTGGCCAGAATAGTCTCCCATGATAACAAGTCGTTGCTTCGTTGTTTCGCATAATTTCTTGTCAATGTTATTTGAAACGTTGATTTGCAGACGATTAGTGCCTGTTCTACAGAAAGGGGGGTAGACTGCAAGAACAATTTGAACAGGCTAAGCTCAACATGCAGAAGATATAACATGAAAATAAATACTACTAAAACTGAAGCAATGCAGGTCAGCATAATTCCTAGTCCGCTATTTATCGGGTTGAATGGTACTTGTCAAAGCAAGTCAAAGAATTTAAATATAAATATACATGAAGTATACTCTTGGGGGACGGGAGAATAAATCGGGAAATAGAAACAAGATGACAAACTAAAAGAAAGATATAAACCTGAACGAAAAGTATATCAGCGAGTTTCGCCATATAACAAACACGAACAAAACGTTAACGTTGTGGCTATGGAGCCTTCATCAGCACATACACAAATTAGACAAAATACTACACAAATACACAATATCACTTATCTTCGTGTCCCAATGTAGCCAGGTCGATGTCTAGCCAATAGACTGGCAGGGACACTCTGAAAGGGGGAAATAAATATCTTGGAGAAAGCCGAGAGACGGAGCTCTATGAACAGGATGAAACTGTTTAGGCAGTTTAGTCCCCTAGGATTCTAGATGAAGATGTGTTGGCAGTTTAGTCCACTGGGCGCCAGAGGTTCCTAAATTGTATATAAAGCGATTTTCATGAGACTAGCGAACTCTGTCGCTGGAGTGGCTGGATTTAATGGCTGTCACCTCCATGTCGTAGACACATTGGTGGTCCTGGGAATTGAAATACAATGGTACTGGTTTTAGGGCACCGTTCTGCCCATCCAAAAGATGTTTCTAAACCTGTTTCATCGATGTATTTAACGCCACATCTCTTGCAGTTGATGGCGCAAATGACGTTATGGCTCGTGTAAAAGAATGCTTCATGTATGTGGACGGTGGCATTCGGGAATTCCAGGTTGGTACCCCGAACCACATATGGACAGGTTCTGCATGCAGGTCTGGGACAAGAGACAGTTCCGAAGTAGGACTCTGAGGCAAGACGTAACCGACTCTTAATTAGAATATCCCTAAGGTTACGGTCATGCCTGAAGACCACTAGGGAAGGTTCAAAGAAAATCTTGCTGGTGGTAGGGTCAGCCCTAAGGATGGAGAGATGCTTGAGGAGAATATTTTTAGCACGTATGTTGTGAGGATGTAGGTAAGTCTGAGAATGGGTCTGTTGTGATGCCGTTTAGGCTTGGAAGCGAGAGCCTCAGCACGATGGACAGACCGTACTCGGTGAAGGGCAGCAGATAAGACATGTTCCGGATACCCACGGCGCCATAAAAAGGCCATTTCTAGGGCCTTGTTGTGAAAGTCGTCGTTTTCCTGGCATAATCTTCGGAGGCTTAGAAGTTGGACGAAAGGAATTGAGTCCTTGCAGGAAGATGGATGAAAGGACGTGTAAAGAAGAAAAGCATAGGAATCAGTAGGCTTATAGTACACCGAGACGCTAAGGCCTTTAGAGTTCACTGTGACAGTGAGATCCAGAAAATGCATCGATGTAGGTGAAATGCTGAAAGTGCAACGGATGCTGGGATGGATGTTGGAGGAAAAATGAATGAAGTTTTGCAATTCAGGTAGAGGCGTATCGGTGACACCGATGCAGTCATCGATATACACTTGTAGAGCGCAGGGAGCCTACCGGCATAAGTATGACGTATCTGATGCTCGAGGTGGCCCATGAAGATGCAGGCATAGCTAGGTCCCATCATGGTGCACATAGCGACTCTGCTGATCTGTTTGAAGTAGTGGCCGTTAAACTCGAAAAAAATGTAGAGTTATCACTAACTCAAACAGGCGTATCAGGGTCAGTGGCTATAGACGGGCTGACCCTACGATCTAGAAAGAACCGCAAAGCCTATTATGTCATCAGTATCACTCATTGAGATTAAAGAATATTTCAATCTTAGCGAATTTGTTTATTTCCGTTTTAATTAAAATCTCACTGTCACTGATTGTAAATTTCTCAATTAACTGAGGACAGCCAGGACACCCTGTTTATTTCCATTAGCGCCTAACAGATCCATTGTTGAGAAAGTCACGCCTGCATAACTCTTTGCTAGTTGAAGGTAGATTAACTGAAGTATCCTAGCAATGGCGACGCTGTCATAATTCAAAAGAAATAATTGATCACACTTTCTTTAGTTAGATTCGTTTGTATAAATCGCATGAATGCCTTTGACTTGGCATAAGAAATATATTAAATGCGCGTGAATATATTCAAAGAGCATGCGGAAAAGTGTATGTCAAGAGGAACAAATGGCTAGCACTACTAGCAGTGCTCTGTATGTGTTTATAACTTTATTTTAATATTTTGATAACAGGTCGGCCGGGTTTCAGCTGTTTGTTCAGGAGTTCATGTACCTAGTTCAGGACTTAAAAAGAAAGGTATTTGTCTACATTTAATTAATCCAGATATTAAATAGTATGAATGCTACATTGAAAAGGTAATTAAAATTCATAATTGTGTTTAATATAGACAATAACTATATTTTATTCTGACGATGAAGAGTTGACTTCACACCAATACCATTGTCAATTTGAGTTTTATTTAGAAAAGACGGTCCCCGTGTGCCACCCCCTTCCCCGCTTCCACTTTTACCCAGGCTTCAATGGAAGTAAAGTAAAGAAGTAAAGGTAGTTAGCATGATGTCGACCACATTACATATCTAGTGCTGATTGGCTGCTTGAATATAAGCCTATCATCTTAGGCATATAGACGTCAGTTGATTGATGAGATATTTGGCTCTACTGGCAAATTTGGCCGGTAAGCTGGACTGCTTCGGCCGGCTTAGCGGGGCTTAGTGGGAGTTATGTCCCTTCGCCAAACTCAAAACAAGTCGCAGAAAAAGTCACGAATCAAATGACATACTTACCTATCATCATCCGGGTGCGTGTAGGGCTGCGTAGGGTTGCGTCTAGGGTTACCTATCATCATACGGTTGCGTGTAGGGCTGCGTAGGGTGTCTATCATCATCATACGGTTGCGTGTAGGGATGCGTAGGGTGTCTATCATCATCATCATACGGTTGCGTGTAGGGTTGCGTAGGGTTTGGGTTAGCGGTAGGGTTAGGGGTTAGGGGTAGGGTTAGGGTTAGGGGGTAGGGTTAGGGTTAGATGATGTGAAAATATTCACGTAGGAGGTGGAAATACTGGCCGACAATCTGATGCTTGTGGGAGTGGCGCCACTGGAAGTGTGCCAAATATGACGACAATAGCGCGCGGCTGGTGCCCAATCGGTGGCGAATTGTCCGTGTCAGTAGCATCCACTGTCCGTCGACTGTTTGCGCGTGCATGCGACTGTGCGCGATTGTAGGGAACTACGGCGTCACAATTGTCACATCTAACGCTACACCTAACCCTAACCCCTAACCCTAAACCCTAAACCCTACACCCTAACCCTAACCCTAAACCCTAACCCTAACCCCTAACCCTACCCCTCATCTATCTTACGCAAACAACCAACCCTACACGCAATAAGCAGCCCTACACGCAACCGTAGGACGGTGATAGACACCCTACGCAACCCTACACGCACCTGGATGATGATAGGTAAGTATGCCGTTTGATTCGTGACTTTTTCCGCGACTTGTTTTGAGTTGTTTTGAGTTTTTTGCTAAGGGACATAACTCCCACTAAGCCCCGCTAAGCCGGCCGAAGCAGTCCAGCTTACCGGCCAAATTTGCCAGTAGATCCAGATATTTTGACTCTCCTCCGAACTTCTACCCCCTTGCAGTATTGCGGCCTGAAATATCCGTTCAGGGCACAGTCCAATTAAAAATATGCCGGCTCCGTATAACGAAACAAATGCTCTAACAGGGTTTCAGCGATATGTTACTTGCGGACCTGTTTCTTATTGTTTCTGATTATCTGACAATTCTAAGAGAGGCACGCAACACTGCAGACGATAATAGCAGACGATAATAATAGTGACTGTTGACACTTTCCATTGTCAAACTTTCTGCCGACGAACAAATCGCGGCAAATCTAGGATCGGCTCAGAAAAACGAAACAAATGCTCTAACAGGGTCTCAGCGATATGTTATTTGCGGACCTGTTTCTATGACTATGGCTCACCGCCGAGCATATTCCCCGCGCCGCTACGTGCGGTGCGGATAGGAGCTAATCTAGATGGCTAGGACTCACGAGCGGCAGCTACCGCATCTCCTGCAATGTCCTCCAGTTACTTTGCTCGTGAGTCCCAGGCACCTAGTTTAGCCCCCCATCCACGGCGGTGATTTTATCAGCGTTTTGCACATGCTGACAAGTCTGACATCTACCGCTGCTAAATCCTCAATCGGAAGAACAGTATTGCTAATCTGCGTGGGAGCGCATGGTCTACCCGCCATAATCGCTTTCATCGTCTGTAATGTCTCGAAATTGCACAGCGTGGAGTGGGGTTAAACTAGATGGCTGAGACTCATGAGCAAATAAAATGAAGAAAGCTGCAGGAGATGTGGTAGCTGCTGCTCATGAGTCCCAGCCATCTAGTTTAGCCCTGTCGCGGCGTGGGAGATACTCTCGGTGGTGGCGGTAGTAGCCGGAAGTCCGCAATTTAAGTCGCTGGAAGTCCTCAATTTACATGTGACTGAGGCCCTTTTAGGGTATATTTTCGGCCTCGATAATTTGGGACCAATATTCTGAGGATTGCTGATATTTTTTAATGGGAAATGAAGAGCAGAAGAACAAGTTGTTCACCCATGGTGGCCAGTCCCTTTTCTGCTAAGTGGAATTTATGGGTACATAAGTGACTAAAAGGGGGTTAGAAAAATAATTATTGCATGGTGTATACAGCCAGTTTTAACATATGGCTGTGAATCCTGGACAATTAACTTGTTTAGT